CTATAAAAGTTAAGTTTCCCCTGGTTACCTCAAACCTTTGAGAAGTCAAAGGTTTACCCTTCACTAAACCAACTTCTTAAAGTTTTAATAAGCTCAAATGGTGCCAAAAATGAACATCTCTACATCTAAACCACAAGAATATTATCATTGTCTAACTCTTGAAGCTGTATCAACATATAACTCCACACACTCTATTTTTATCAACTCATAACCACTACCTATTCATACCTAATAGGCTTATTAAATTTTATTAATGCACATTATCATTAACCATACCTCAAACCATCATTAATGCACATAAATCTCTCTCAACTACCATATTTATAATAATTTTTGGATAATAAATTCTTTCATGGACTAACCACTTCCAAAATCATTAATGTGATGTTCTAATACATTAAACAACTTTCATTATACTTATTGTAACCAATGAAATTGGACCCATATTCTTATGGGCAGAAAATCCACCTTTTAACTCAAAACCTACCATAAATGATCATAAATGAGGGAGAGAAAGGAAGAAGAAGGCACCATAAACTTACCTTAGATATTTAGGAGCTTTAAAATGCCAATAATGGAAGCCGATGTCATGCCCTAATGGAACTTAAGTCGAGCTTTTTATTTTCCTCTCCTCCTCTTCTTTTGTTTTCACACACAAAATGCAATTGATATATCAAATTTTTGGTTGTGCGTCGCAGTGCACACTACCCTCCGCTACGGCGCATGGCACATAGGAGCTTGTTATTCAAATTTGTCTCTGTGCATTGTGGTGGGCCAACCATGCGTTGCGATGTATGACACAGAGAACAATTCTTCACTTTTCTTCCTCTTTCCTTGCCCAGGTGGCTTACCATCGATCCGGACCCACTTCTAGGACTGAAATCACAACAATTACGCCAAGTTAAACCCTTCTGGCCACACACCTCATTAACTTACTTCTAGGGCTGAAATCACAATAATGAACTAAGGTTATATTTTTCTGGATGTTACACTTTCTCTTTTGGTAGGGAAGGCTAGCTAACACCATATTCTTCGTGCAAGTCTTGCCTTGTGTTATTTGAAGACTTGTCTATGCTTGACCTCAGATAATCAACTATAATAGATGAAATTAGTGTGTATCTCTTCTATTTAAAGATAGTAACATATGATTTATCTTGCAATCAACAAGTCATGTTAGGGACTTAACAAGTCATGTCAAGGAATTATTAAGTCATATTGGAGTACAATTATGGATAAATACATAAATAAATTAATATAACTGACACAACTTACACTTGTTGGCAATTTAAATGTGATGGTTATATAAATTGTTTTACACTGCTCTTACACTAGTTTACAACTATAATCACCATGTTTACAATAGAACAATAAGATTTTTCCAATACTATATGCAATTACTTTATATAGTATAATTTTAATACCATAAATATGCAACACATTCAACCAACCATTTGCTTTGCAAATTTAATATTACATAATAATTCACATCAGAAAAATGCTAATACCAAACTTCTCAATTCTTCATATATCATCCTTATTATTCTAAATCTTTCACCACTTATAATCCCTCAAAAACATTCACAAATCCTCCTTTATGAAAGATGTATACAAAATAATTTATTTTCAAAATTTCTAGTCATACCTTTTGCAATCTTGCACTTCATTAAAATGAAAAGTTTAATTACCTTAACAGCACTTAAACAATTTATGAATTAACAACTATAATACTCATATTTACAACATAACATTACATTTTTCATAAAAAAAATGATAGTTATTTTGAATAGCACAATTTTAATACCATCAATATGTAGCACCTTCCCTAACTTATCAATGCTACAATAATTACATTATTGGAATAGTTTATATTAGAAAAGGACTCACAATTCTTCATGTCAAATAACCCACTTATTTCATATTCATACCACACACTATAAACCCATTGCAAATTTGTTGTATTTAACAATTGAGATGAAGATGATGAAACTTTCGACATGATAAGTTCAAAATTTACCTTAATAGGGATGAGATTTTGAAATGATTAGCCAAGTTGTTTCCTCAACCCAACCAAAAACTATTCATAAAACCATGCAAATTACTCCAAATAATACAATATTAAGTGAGATAGCATTGTCTATAGAAGGAGAAAGGTGGCCAATTACATGATTTATCACTTTGTTCTTAGAAAGAATATGGAGAAATGGAAAGCTATACGGTAAGCTAGAGTTTAACAACTTCATGCAAATTTTTTCCCTTGTTGTTTGAACTATTTTTCCTTTCATTTAGTAGGATCATTTTAGTCACTTGATTTCACAATTTTATTTCACTTTATTCCCAAAATCCTTTAGTATATGTTCAAAATTGTTTAGGCCTGATTGGTAAATAAGGTTCTACTGTAGTCCTTTATTGAAATTGTCCCTTAAAAATTTCTTGAGCTTGATTTTATACTCTTTTCTTAATAAAAGTCAAAATATATTAACATATAAAATGAGTACAAAGCAAAAGGCCCCTCATATCACAAATTAGGGGCCCTTAGTAAAGTTTGGTTATAGAATATAACAGTAAAAACTGAAAACCCATACAGAAAAAACAAACAACTAGAAAAGTAAAATAAGATGATCCATATCACGGTAATTTAGGATAAGCAAAGAAGGTAAATAGCTTGTTGAAGGAAGATCAATAAACTTTCCAAAGAAAGGCCTATCAATAGATTGAAAAAACACCATGAAATAGAAGAAAATTTGATCCCCATAGAAATCAAAAATCAAAAGTTTAAGCATTTTCCCATAGGATTTAAAAGTCAAAGCTGAAGCCTTGGTTTGTTGAATTCCTTGCCTGAAAACTCTTAAGTAACATGATGTAGGATTGAAAAATAACATGAAAAAAGAGTAGCAACCATACATACAAAAACCAACTAATGAAGAAGTAGATAAAGCTAGACTTGAAGTTGTCCCCTTTCCAAAAGATGCAACTCCATAAATAGGACCTTTATGGCACTGCAATGTATGAAGATCCATAATAAATCATCCAAGCTTTTGGAGTTTTTTTTTGGGATAAAACTCCTAAAACCTAGCTTCCAGAGATTTGTCATTGTAAAACAAAGCAAATTTCCACTTACATACATGTGAACTAAACTAATTAGCAGAAAAATCACTTACAACAACAATAAAACCAAAATTTGAAAATGTAGTATAGTAAGGTAACATAAAAGCAAGAGAGCTGGTTAAATGATACCTGCATAGATAGGAAGCAAAACCATTCTCAAGTACATGTGAAGAGTTTGCCTATCCTCAATCATTTTCATTTACCAACATGAAGTCATAAAAAGTATGTCCTACCACTGGCATTATTTTCATATATCCCTTATACCAAAAATTATGCAGGATTGATGGTTCTCACATGCTCCTTGGAAACTTTTCACATATGTAAGGTAGTAAATTGCAAAAACCCATAAGACATTTATTTATAGGAGAATAATATTGTCTACCATTAGCCTCATTGGTTATATTAAATAAATTTTAATTATAAAGTACCTCATAGAACCATTAAACCTAAGTGAATCTTGGCTCTCTGCAGACTCGAGAACCCACTCTAAGACGTCGTTATCTGTGAATGTGGATTATATACCTATGAAGCAGCGAAGGAATAAGTTGTGCTCAACAAAAATGTCTAGACCACCACAAGACACTCTAAACCAAAAGACCTCACACTTTCACCGTTCAAGCACTAGCAATAGTGAGGATTTCTTAAGAAGTAGTACGTACCAAGACTTAGTTCCCTTAAGATGAAAGGTAGAGAAAAGTAATAGATTTAGTTTTACTAAGTAAAGGTTGTTGAGAATCCACAGTGAAATAAGTAAACTAGTTTAAATAGCCAAATGAAAACACATTACTTGCTGATAATGTAGTAGCTGATGAAGAAATCACTGACTGGAGAAAAATGTGGCAGCGAAGGACCTAAGGTAAATTAATAGATGCTCATAAAACCATTTGAAAAATTGGAGTTTGACACCTGCAGTGAGCTTTGTCTAGAAAGATAGTTGATCAGAAGAAGAACCATATTGATGAAGAATTTGCTTAGGTCACTTAATGTGGGTTAGATTTGAGAGCCATCCCTAATCAGATCTACCTTACCTTTACGATAGCAAGGCATTTCGTAATTAGCATGCATAGGGACGCTTGACTTAGTGAAAGGTATGGTACTTTATCTCTTTCATGGGAAAATAATTTACATAATTTCATTTAATTCAACTTATTCTTATTAATTTTTCTCTTTTTATAAAAATCATGACTTGGCACTGTATCTTTAAAATTTATCTCATCTCGAGAAAGTTCTTTATTTTCAAATAATTACATGATAAATTCTAATTACCAAGAAATGACCCCCTTAAATTCAAATCAATATTGATAAATATTTAATAAATTCAATTTAGTTAATAAATTAATTTATAATGTTCCTTAAATTTTACAGTCAAAATTGGGATGTTACAATTATTTTCTCCTTTTTATCCTATAAATTCAACTTCCTAGTTAGCATGTCATAACTTTCCACATCCCCTTTTCACTTGGATCATCCAGATAGTATCTCTTATAAATTTAACTTTCACATTATTTCATATGGTTTAATTTCATTTATTAAATTGATTTTTTCGTGACAAAAAATGTGGATTGTTTTACCTTGATCTTGCTCATACTTTCGTTTAACTTTTGGCATTTTCTTGAATTAATTTTAGGTGGTTATGCTATCAATAAATGTAAATTATGACTTCCTAAAATGATAATAATTAATTGAATTTTCTTGCTTTTTTCCTAAAAAATTATGCATTCTCCAATTAAAAACGCTTCTGGGGCTAGAAATGCAATTTTGGGCCAAATACTTAATCATGGAGCAGGAGTTGGCCCAATAAAACGTTATGGGCCTGTTGAAGTTGAGACGGCGTCGTTTGAGCAGCTTGCAAGAGAGATCGCCTGAGCAGATATTAACCAAATTGGAACTCGAGAAGCAAGAAAAGCGACGCTGCCAGGGTGTGTGTGTTCGGATTTGGTGGTGACTCCAAAGAAAGGAGAAAGCTTAGTGATGGCGACGGCGGATTCTCCGAAGGCCGATTCCGATAGCGAGTTCGATTCTGTTCCAAGCGTTAACCAAGCGTCTGATGCTAACTCTAGTCCCAATTCTTCAAACGCTGTTGTCCCCGCATCTCCCAGTGCCCCGGTTGTGTGCCTTCTCCGCTTCGCCGGCGACTCCGCTGCCGGTGCCTTCATGGGCTCCATTTTTGGCTATGGTTCTCTCTCTCTCTTTCTCTCTCTCTCTCCCCCTCCCCCACCTCTTACTGATATAGGCGTTGTTGATCATTGCTTAATTCTGAGGATTCATGCTCAGCTGTGAGTTTTATATATTATGAAATCTCACGCTGTGGAAACTTCTTGGTGCTTTATTTTTCTCTTGGAGGCCAACTGGTGGAACGTAATAATGTAGAAAATGGGAATGTATTTGGACTTGATAAAATCTGTAGTGCTTAAATTTCTGATTCTTTATTGATTTGTTTGAGGGATGCGCTAATTGTATTGGGCTAGCGAACAAATTATTGGATTCAGTTGTTCTTGGGTTTGCTTTGTGGCTTAGTTTGGCTAATGTATTTGAGAATACGGAAACTGGTTTGGCAGATTTTACTCGGGCAAGCTTCCATTTTCTCTTTTCCTTGATCAACTCTACTGATCGAATACAGTGAACTTTTTTACTTTGGACTCTTCAAGTACATGAGGTTAGAATTTTCACATCAACCTTGTGTCTGGATTTTTGGCACCCTGTCTGTATGTAATGCCGGGAAGTATACACTAGGTTTTGTAGTCTCTCAGGTTGTTTCATCTTGATAACAGACCAGCACTACCCAAATTTCTGGCGACTGGTAGTTTGGTGCAGTAAACCTCTCACTGAAAATTTCTTTTGCAAAAGAGACATTGGTAATTCCATGCTTGAAATTGCATGAGTTATGACATCTTTGGTTCTTGTGAATTTCTTGGCAAGTCATGTGTCTTTTGCTGTTTTTTGAGGTATTTCTTATTTCGTCTTCCCATTATCACAATATAAGCTATCACTTTGATTGGAAGATTTCATGTCTAGGCTTTGTGGTTGATACATGGGAATTGGGAATAGGGAGCGGAATTAGGGGCTAAAAGGGTAATTTGGGAATATGCTAAATATCTCTGTAAATGGGGTCCTAAGGTTGTAATGGGGATCCTGTGAATGATATTTCTATTGCTGTCTTTATTTTCCTTTTGCTTCTATCAGTGGTTGTCTGATGAAGCAAGGTAGAGTGTTACATTATTTTCCCCACTGTATATTTTTACCTTTTCCTCCTTCATTTTTAACCTTTTATTGCTTGAGTTTTACTGGTGTTGTTTAACAATAGTACCGCTTCTTTTTTCCTTTCCTAAATTCAATTTAGGATACAAAATTTCTGGAAAATACAATTTCTTATCCTTTATTGACTGAGGTTCTACTTCGTGTGCTTCTATACAACAACAACAAGCCTTTATCCCACTAGGTGGGGTCGGCTATATGAATTGCAAGACGCCATTGTGCTCTATCATTTATCAAGCTTTTAGGAATATTATTAATTAAGAGATCGCGTTCAACAACTTCCAAGAGTGTTTTCTTAGGCCTTCCTCTACCCCTCTTAATCGGACTCAAAGTTACATGTTCCACTCTTCTCACTGGTGCCTCCCTTGGTCTTCTTTGTACATGCCTAAACCATCTCAACCGATTTTCTACCATTTTTTCCTCAATAGGTGCTATCCTCGCTTTTTCGAGTATGTGCTCATTTCGAATTTTATCTTTTCATGTGTGTCTGCACATCCATCGTAACATTCTCATCTTTGCTACTTCAGTTGTATGCTCTTGTTGTCCCGTTAGAGCCCAACATTCACTACTATATAACATTGCCGGTCTGATAGCAGTACGATAAAACTTTCCTTTAAGTTTATTAGGCACCTTACGGTCGCAAATAACTCCTTTAGCTTTTCTCCAATTAAACCACCCAGCTTGACCCTTATGTGAAATATCTCCACTGATTTCGCCATCATTTTAAATAATGGCTCCCAAATATCTAAACTTTTCCACTTGAGGTATAATTTGATCTCCCAATTTCACTTCCAAATTATTATCGAATAGTCTCTTACCAAATTTACAATATAAATATTCCGTCTTACTCCTACTCAGACGGAAACCTTTCGACTCCAATGCTCTCCTCCATAACTCAAGTTTGCAATTAACCTCTTCTCTTGTCTTTGCTATAAGAACTATATCATCTGCGAAGAGCATACATTTGGGAATTTCTCTTTGAATATGTTCCGTCAAAACATTTAAGATCAAGTTGAACAGATAAGGACTCAGAGATGATCCCTGATGTAGTTCAATCTTTATAGGAAAATCTTTTGTTTGACCACTAGGCGTTCTTATACTAGTTTTTACTCCCTCATACATATCTTGTATGGCTTTAATATAAGCAATCCGTACTTCTTTTTTTTCCAACGCTTTCCAAAGCACTTCTCTTGGTATACGGTCATAAGCTTTTTTCAAATCAATAAAAACCATGTGTAAATCTTTATTTTTACAACAATACTTTTCCATTAATCCCCTTAGTAGATAAATCGCCTCTGTAGTTGATCTACTTGGCATAAAACTAAACTTATTTTCAGAAATACTTGTCTCCAATCTCAACCTGTGCTCAATTACTTTTTCCCACAATTTCATTGTATGGCTCATGAGTTTAATCCCTCTATAATTAGTACAATTCTGAATATCTCCTTTATTTTTATAAATATGAATTAATGTACTTCTCCTCTACTCATCAGGCATTTTCTTGGACCGTAAGATTACATTAAATAACTTAGTTAACCATCTCACCCTTTTTTCACCTAAACATTTTCACGTTTCGATAGATATACAATCAGGTCCGTTGGCTCTACCATTTGCCATTTTCTTAAGAGCTTCCTTTACCTCTTTATCACATATTATTTGATAGAATGACAAATTTTGTTTTCCTTCACCAGTTACTAAATCCTCCAAGTTACTAGATGAACCCTCTCCATCATTGAAAAGTTTAGAAAAGTAAGTCTCCCATCTATTTTTTATTTCATTATCTATAACTAAAATTCTTTCCTCTTCATCCTTAATACACCTTACCTGTTCTAGATCCCTTGATTTTCTTTCCCTACTCTTGACAATCTTATAAATGTTTCGTTCTCCTTCCTTCGTCTCAAAGCTCTTATAAAATTCTTCAAAAGCTTTAGAACGAGCTTCACCCACAGCTCTTTTAGTTTCATTCTTAGCCATACGGTACTTCTCCCAATTTTTCTCATTGTTATACAAATGTATGGCTTTAAAACAGTTCTTTTTATATTTGATTTTGTCCTGTACACTATTATTTCACCACTAAGACTCCTTATCTCTCGGATCAGAACCTTTTAATTCTCCCAAAACTACTTTTGCAACCTCCCGTACCTTTTTAGCCATATCCTCCCACATGATGTTAGCACTTCCCTGAGATTCCTAAATTCCTTTGTCCAAAAAATTTCGCTTGAAAATATCTTGCTTCTCACCTTTTAATTACCACCACCTAATCCTTAGTGCTACTACTTGTCGACGCTTTTGGATTTTACTCATAATACACATATCAAAGACTAGGATCCTATGTTGTGTCGTTACAGCATCTCCGGGGATCACCTTGCAATTTTTACAAAGTCTTCTATCTGCGTTCCTAACCAAAAGAAAATCAATCTGTGACCTTGAGGCTTCACTTTTGTAAGTGATGAGATGCTCATCTCTATTCTTGAAATAAGTGTTGGCAATCTTAAAATCATACGTCAATGAGAAATCAAGAAGAGTCTGTCCTTCATTGTTTAGCTCTCCAAAACCAAGACTACTATGCACCCTCGTATACTGACTAGCATCCCTACCAACATATCCATTAAAGTCTCCTCCAATAAAAATCTTTTCACTCTGTGGTATGTGTCGAATCAACCCCTCCAGATCCTCCCAAAATAATTCCTTAAGACTGGCTTCTGTCCCGACTTGTGGCGCATAAGAGCTAACAATATTAATAGTCTCACGTCCAATTATCATTTTTAAGGAAATAATTCGATCTCCAGTTCTGCTAACTTCTACAACATTCTTCTTCCACTCCTTATCCATAATGATGCCTACTCCATTACGTGCGCTTACTTTTCTTGTATACCAAAGTTTGAAACCTTGAATATCCTTAGCTTCTTCTCCACGTCATTTTGTTTCTTGCAGGTAAAGGATATTGATTTTCCTTTGAATCATAACCCCTACAACCTCTACAGATTTACAATTCAATGTCCCAACATTTCAAGTACTAAATCTAATTTTGCTCTCATGGATTAATCTCTTTAGCCGCGCACGTCCAGAATGACGCGGTAGCCCTTGCTCATTTAACACTACATCCGGGCGCCGATGCAGCGGCTCTAACTCACTTATCACTGTACTCGAGCCATGCAGCGCGTTACTTACGGGCAACGACCTAGCATTAACATTATAACGTCTATTGTCCATGTTCATGATAGATTCAATAAAGTTTTACATTGGCTGTTGATGGCCTAACACAACCCTCCTCCTTTACTCGGGCTTGGGACCGGCTATAAATATAGGCGGAGTTACTTCGTGTGCTTCTATAACTGGGCAAAAATGCATGGAGTCCCCTTCATTATGTTAATGTGCAATTTACCTTCCTCTAACTTTAAAGTTTGACAATCAACCTCCTAAACTTTTTAAATTTTGCAACTTAATCTTTCTGTGACAGTTATATCCAAAACCCTAAATCCCTAATTGTGATTCTGCAGAGGCAATATTTTACCATGTCATCTTTGACCACCTTTTGCCTATTATGGCATTTGGCCTTAACTCAGTTGACCAAAATATCCGTTTTCTCGACAGGATTTATCTTCTACATGCTTTACTTTTTTCTATAGAACTACGTTAGTTTATTTTACTCTCTCCTCTGAAGCCATATCGGAAGCTTCTTTATTCTCTCTCTCTCTCTCTCTCTCTCTCTCTAAATTTCCAATTCACCCCAGTATGTCATTTATTTATTCTGTAATCTCTTATACTCTGTCAAGTTTTTGATATTTTGATTATAGAGAAAAGTGGACAAAGATTAAAAAATGATAATGCAACAGCAACATGCAAACAGAAAATTGCTTTTAGTCTGAGTAATCTGCCACAAATAGAAAAGGGATATATTAAAAATCTGCTGCCGTAGCAATTCCAATCTCAAAGGGTATTTTCTATTAAAATTTGACTCAATAAATTTTGAGATGTTATCGACTTTTAAAGTTAACATGGCTATATATTGAAGTGGCCTCTGTGCATTTTGACTCGTAGATATGTTGGCAAGAGATTTATCTTTGAAAAACATGACTTCTGATAAATTTATAGTGAGTCAAAATTTGTTAACTAGCTAAAAGAGCTTGCAATTGTTACGACTCAGGTTCTGGATTGGTCAAGAAGAAGGGATTTAAAGGTTCCTTTGTCGAAGCTGGATCTTATGCAAAGGTATATCTGAGGTTTTAGTAAAATTTTTCCCTGGTGATGACAATTTCTATTCGTCTCATGTCCAAACTTTTAATCATATATTTATTGTCTTTTAACTGAGTCCATTTCTTGTCTTTACCCACTAGACATTTGCAGTTTTGTCTGGAGTACACAGTTTGGTTGTTTGCCTCTTGAAAAGACTTAGAGGAAAGGATGATGGTATACAATTATAATCAGTGAAGTGATATTTTTCCGTTTTTATTAGCATTCTGCTGCTGCTAATATTGCTGCCTTTTGATTGGCAGTTATCAATGCTGGGGTAGCTGGATGTTGCACTGGTCTTGCTCTAAGTTTTCCAGGTATAATTTTTTACTTTTCAGGTGATGAATTACCCTTCCTCTAAGCCTTGTCCAGCTGTATGTTCACCCCTGACCAGCTTTAAAAAAAAAAAAATTAATAATAACAGAAGAAGCAAACGAGACATGCCAGTCTGGTTGTTTGAATTTGGAATGCCAATTATCCCTTTATAATAGGTCTCATTATTAATGTCTTCAAGTATCGCTATCTTACTTGTCATGTAGAGAGACAATCTCTCAACTTTGTCTCACGCTAGGGAGTCCAGTATGGGAAAGAGAGATATTTAGAGCACTTTCAAACCTTTGATATTTTTAATAAGTTTTAGGACAAGACTTGGATACTTAGCTTTACATATTCAATGCGCTTTTAATCAATCAAATTAAGACAGGTGAATTTTAAAGTGTTAATAATATTAATTATAAGAGTTTGTTATAAAATAAATAATATATAAAGGATTCATATGTCTTGATTTAATTGGAAACAAGCATTTTAAGTGTATAAGGTTAAGTATATTAGTTTTTCCCTAAGTTTTAAACTGCATAGTGAAGTACTGTTGAGAATTACCTTTTTTTTTTCTTGGGTTTTTTGCATTTGCTTTTGCTGGAATGACTTATCCTCTAGGATCATCCAGGTGCACCACAAGCTCTTTTGCAGAGCTGCCTTACTTTTGGGGCATTTTCTTTCATCATTGAAGGGCTAAACAAGCAGCAGCCGGCACTAGCCCACTCCTTTTCCAGGAAAACAAGAATGCACCACGGTAGTACACATCCTCCACCTTCAGCACTTCCCCTTCAATTCCCACTTCCAGATGAAATGAAAGGAGCTTTCTCCTTTTTCTACGAGTCTTTGAAGAAACGAAGCAAGGGCCCTTTTCCAGCATCTCATTGAGAAATCAGAGTTTCAGGCTTTTTCTAGCATCTTGTAAATAAGATGTGTACCCTTCTTTTTGCCTCTAGTTTAGTTTTCTTCTAGCTCTGTCAAAATTTTTAAGTAATTTGAGAGTAATCATGCACTGTGCCAAGGATTTGGGTCGTTGAAATGTTGCTTCTGTATTTCAAAAATGGAAACTTTAGTTATACTTTATTATGCTTGGGAAGATTCGAATTCAATGGCTAAACATTGATTTAGTGGCCTAAAAGCGTCGCTGTTGAGTTTGAACAAGGGGGAAACCAGAGTTGACTTTTCTAAGATTTCACACGTGTGCTTTTTTTTTTTAAGGGTTAAGATTAAAAAATATTTAGAATTTGTTTTTTTCCAGTAGCTTTTGGTATGATTCATGGGTACCCATGAATTGAGGATTGAGGAAGATTAATAGGTATTTATGTATTATTATTTAATTTGAAAATATCAAAAGTTTGTAGAGAAAAAATTTGAAATTACTTTTTCACCTTAACTCCTTTCTTAGTATAAGTGTGACATGTTTGGCTTTGCGATTGCGTGCCCCAAAATCATGGTTATGAAACCCAAACCATGTTTTGTCAGAAGATGAAAAGGAAGCCAAGAGTCACTTTTTCCAAACCACGTGAGTTCCAAAGCTGGTGTCATGCTGCTATTGCGTTTTTTTTTCCCCTTAAAATTCGTGGGCTCATTAATTGCTAAATTGAGTTTTTTTACCCTTAAAATCCGTGGGCTCATTAATTGCTAAATTGAGTTTATCAACCCATTTTATCTATAACCATTTTTCTTTTCATCCTACAATTATGATCCACTGCTCCCCTCTCTCTCCCCCTCACACGCGCGCGCGCGCGCGCGCACACACAGAGGGATGATATTGGATGGAATATCGGTTCAGGACAGATTCACACACACACACAGAGGGATGATATTGGATGGAATATCGGTTCAGGACAGATTGAAGGCAATATGACAGATTCACACACACACACACACACACAGAGGGATGATATTGGATGGAATATCGGTTCAGGTCAGATTGAAGGCAATATGATTAAATCTATCGTTGGGAATAAAAATATTGGGATGATATAGGGTGGAAAGTCAATTTTCGTTGTCCACTGCAAGTTTAGGGTACTTTTGATTATCGGATCTAGCATGAAGACGACTACTATGATCAATATTTGGGTAATCCTAGTAGCTTTCTTCATCCACAAGCTTGTGTTTTCCTTTCTTTTCCTTTCTTTTTTTTTTCTTTGTGTCAAGTTTGCGTTTCTCTTCAGACAAGAAGGGACGTTCACTCCTACAAGGTAAGCTTAAAAGAAAAAATATGCAAAATAAAGATATAATGATTAATATGGTTTAACAATGATGATTAGGTTGTGTGGAAATGCTTGATTTTAAAAGTCATCTTGGAACAGCTATCTTGATTATAGATATTAGATTATTATGTCTAGAAGAGAGAGAAAGAATTAACATGGTTCGGTCAACATAAAATATATTATTCACGAGTGTTCATACCTATCCACACAACAATTTTGGTATTGTTCATTCTCAGTCAGTGGGCAAAATCATTCACAAGAGCATTCAAAACTTTTAAACAGTTTCGATTCATACGCTATTATTTTGAATACAAAACACTTGGGGACAGACTTTCTCATTCTCAAGATTTTTTTTTTTCCTTTTTATGGTAAAAAAGGCCTAAATTATAATGGCAAGCTAATTTAAGTTTTTTCCCCCCTAAACAAGAAGCAAACTTAAGTTAGATTTAAATCAGATAAAAATAGAAAATCACTACAAAGTCCCTAATAAAGATTTTAATTACAATAAGATCCCATAAAATATACAAATTAGTATCAAACCCTAAACTCTTTATTTATTAATAAACTTTATGTAAAACTGCAAAAACATCCCTATTCTACTTTTTTTTAAACAAAAAAGTCAACCCAACCATTGCCTGTTGCCAAAGCTCTAGCCATCGCTGTCTATGCGACCACCAAAGCATTTAAAAAGAAAGAATCTCATTAAAAGTCCTTGAAACCAAAATATTCACAAAGAGGATTCAATAGAATATGAAATTATTCCACAAACCCAAGAGTTTTGATCACAATTAAAATTTTAATGAAATAACTCAAATGTCTCTTAGTTTTTTTTTTTTTAAAAAAAAACAAATGGTCACTAACACTAGTTACCGGAGCTTTAGTGAGGAGACTACGCTAATGATCACTACCAATTGACCAAAGATCAAACCTTGTCAAATGCACCAAGGGGTCAAGGGAGGATTTGAATCTTTAATTTCTTGGTTGTTCGAAAGGAATGTCACCACTGAATGACCAAATACTTTTAATTATATATTATAAGATATAATATATTTTATAACTTATTTTCAAGTATTTATCTGAGTTGCTGTGAATTATAAATTCATTGTTCATATTCGAATAATCACATATAAATATTTAAATATAACTTATTCATATATAAAAAAAAATTTGTCAACTTTTAAAATCTAACTTCTTGCTAGCATTAGAGCTTTAGCGGCCAGCATGGTGGCTCCAGCTAACAGTGATAGTGACCATTTTTTACTCAGGGGAATTTGTGTTATTTCATTAAAATTTTAATTGCTATCAAGGTCCTTGGGCTTGCAAAATAAATTCATATTATTGGGCCCTCTTGTGAATATCTTGATTTTGAGGGCCTTACATGACATTCTTCTAATAAAAAATGGAATAAGGATATTTTAGTAATAATACATAAAATTTATTAATAAATAAAGTACTTGAGACTTCATAATAACATGAGACTTTATGGTGATTAAAATTAAAATCCCTATAAGAGACTTTGTAAAGATTTTCCCCAAAAAAACAGTGTTTATAGCTATTACAATGGGCCTTTAACGAGGCGGACAAAATGGGCCTTTCATTTTTTTTTACTTCCCGGGAATTGGTCCATTTAGCCCGTAGACTGCCTGGGCGTATAACCCTAGCTTCGCCATCATCTTCCTCTCCAGTCCTTCGAAACTCTCCTCTTCTGGTCCGTCGCTAGCATCGTGTTTCTGTCAAAATGGGTATGTACCGTGTAACTCTAAATCATTATTCTTTTTCTTTCCCTATGTTTTCACGGTATGGAATTCTTATACTCGGGAATATGCAGGTATCTCTCGTGATTCCATGCACAAAAGGCGTGCCACTGGAGGCAAGAAGAAAGCTTGGAGAAAGAAGAGAAAGTAATTATGTTTCCTTTTGTGTTCTTGTTGCTTTAACGATATCTTGAACTTTAATTCCCTTCCCTTTGTTTGTTGTGAAGTTGGTGATTTGGAAACGTGGCGATTTGCTTTTGACTGACCAAAGAGGTTAATGTCGTGATATATCCTTATCGATTGGTTTGGTTGATTATTTTTAGTGTGGAAAATTCATTCGGTAGGAGATACGATTGAATTGTGTGATTTATCTGCTAGAATCGACGACGCGATTCCCTTTCATTTTTTAATCTATTATATATTATGAATGTCTCCTATCATTATTTTTGGTAGTGAGAACCACATTCAACTAACGTCATATCTGTTGTTTATGGTTGGGTCTGCAAGTGATTATTTGTTTAGTTGAAAGGGGAAGTTAAGGGCGAGTGAATTTAGTGGAAATTGAAGAATTTTATAGTTTAAGCTAAACGGGAGGCACATATAGATGGAGAAAAGTACAAGGATGCCCAAATTTTCAACTCTTGGTTGCTTAACCCTCTTCCCTGCATTGGTTCATTTTGCGTCATGGCGATAGAACTGAGGTCAAACACCAGATTGGATAAAGAAATTAGACTGGGGGGATTGTATATTTTAGTAATACAGTATTTAGCCCTCTCTTATCAATGGTAAACAGTGTTCAAAGAATCAAGTGATATGACATTTTTCTTCACCAGTATTCCTTTGTTGGCAGGTATGAGCTTGGGAGGCAGCCAGCAAACACTAAGCTATCAAGCAACAAAACAGTGAGGAGGGTTAGGGTTCGAGGTGGAAATGTAAAGTGGCGTGCTTTGAGGCTTGATACTGGAAATTACTCATGGGGCAGTGAAGCTGTGACTCGCAAAACTAGAATTCTTGATGTGGTGTACAATGCTTCTAACAATGAGCTGGTTCGTACTCAGACATTGGTCAAGAGTGCTATTGTTCAGGTTGATGCAGCCCCTTTCAAGCAGTGGTATCTTCAACATTATGGTGTTGACATTGGTCGCAAGAAGAAGACTGCAACTTCTGTCAAGAAGGAAGGGGAGGTAATGCAATCTCTTGATATATTGCTTGCGTGGATATTACACTAGAGATTATGCTTAAGTTCACTATAACTACCTGACTACCTCATTCAATTTTGTTGTTCAGTTTATTAGATATGCAACATGTTGATACTTGATGTTTCTGTTAATATCATATATATTCATTTTGATGTTGGTAGATAGATCCAGTTTTAATCAAGTTATGCAAAGTAGAAAATTCCGGATTTTATATAGTTATTGTTTGTATTGTCTGTGCCTCTGCTGTCATTTCTCTAGTTGAGGATGCTATATGAAATATGGCGCTATTTTTGAATTCAACAAAGATGATTATCTTTAACTAATTGTTATTAAACTTAACAATCAATATATCAATATATATAAGTTGTAAGAAGTCGCATTGTTTACAAGCCAGGAACAGTGTAACTCATCTCGGGTCATGTGTAAATGCTCTGGACCTACCATAGTTTACATTATTTACTTTAAATATTTCATAGTTAGCCAGGTAGCCTTGAAATGTTATTAACACCATTTCCTTATCTCTTGATTAACAGGAAGGTGAAACTGTGACCGAAGAAGTGAAAAAGAGCAACCATGTATTGAGAAAGCTAGAGAAGCGTCAACAGAACCGGAAGCTGGATCCTCATATTGAAGAACAATTTGGAGGTGGTCGTCTATTGGCTTGCATCTCTTCTCGTCCTGGTCAATGTGGTCGTGCTGATGGGTATGTGGACATTCACTCCTTTTACCACTCTATATATTAAGTGCATTGTCCCCAACCATTTTGCTGTTCAAAAGTTGGGATTGTTCAGCAATTTTGTGAACTTTCTTCTATGCTCTTTTTTGTTGGGTGGTATAGAATCACACACTAGGTATAGGGAGTAATGAAAAGAATTGAATTCCATTGATATAATTGAATAGCATTCTTATCACATTCTATGCAGCAATCTTCATTTATAAATGGCCACAAATGCCACCAAGAGGTGGGGAAAGGAATGGAAAAGGTCGCAGATGCTTCTTGTGGTCTAGTTTATGGTCTTGCAAAAATGTGGTCAATAATACAATATGGGCTTACTTTATGTTGCACTAATATTTTAGAAAAGGAGATATGTATTCAATACAGTATGCTTATATTATTACTTCCTCCGGTCCTATTGATAAGGCCCTTATAAAAAGACCATAGGGAATAAATTAATACATGTAACATATTGCAACTTTTGTGGTTGGGTTTGGTTTTGTTTTGTTTTTTTTTTTATTGAAATACTCTGACGCAGCTCTAGAGCTTGTAGAAAATCCTGATATAAATGGAGATGAAGATTGACATTGAGTTTTAATTGGAAGTTATAGTTTGGTTTATTTTGTGCCCTTTATTGGTAGCCGCTTCTGAAATTATTCTGATTGAAAGATTTGTTTAAAACTCAGTTTTCTTATCATGGTCGTGTTTCGATTTCTAATGCGTTACTTTGTTGAATATATATCCAATAGCATATGCTTATCTCATATCACGTTTTATTGCATCCTATATGTGTACCTATACTGGTACTTCTCCGGCCTAACTCGATTCGATTTCTGGCAGATATGTTTTGGAGGGTAAAGAACTGGAATTCTACATGAAGAAGATTCAAAGGAAGAAAGGCAAGGGTGCAGGTGCTGCCTAATATTTGTCCTCCTTTTTTTTTAATCAAAATTTCATGTTCAAGCTTCTGTACCAGATAAATTCAGATCAGTTTTGGTGTTTCTACATTTTTGGAAGATTTTGAGATATATAGGTTTCGGTGTTAATTTAGTGATGACACTTGATACTAGCAGTGCCACATGTTTCAATTTATCATCGCCTAGTCCGTTGATCAAAGACTTTTTAATGCATTGGCCTTCATGATTTTGGCATAATCAGGGGTGTCACGTTTTTTGTTCTGGAGCATTTTGATGTGGGATTGTCACATGTTTATTCAATAAAATACCAATTTTTAGAATCAGTCTGATAACTATGCCTTTGACATGATCATTGAAATGGTGAAAATATTAACGAATTTTGAAATATTAATTATCCTTTCTATGTATGTCAATTAATCAATTACTTTTTCCGATTCTTCTTATGAGTCACTTTTAACTAACTCATCAAAATCAAGGTGAATCAAGGTGAGTTAGAATAGTACATTTGTTTTAAAAATAAATCGCTTACCAATTATGTCCTTACATTTAAAAAAATGATTTGATATGTGAAAAGAGTTTTCCGAAAAATTAAAATATTGCACTTTTTAAAATTTGTTAGAAGGTACTTTTGAAATTGAACATTAATAGTCAAGAGGTGACGCACATACAGGATCAAGGAAAGGGAGTAACTGAAAGTAATTGATTTTGAATATTGTGTCTATGCATTCAGAAAGCTTGATATATTTTGTATTATTTGCATTTGCTGGGCAAGTTAAGGTAATTATAGATTTTGTTTTTTTAAACCCTTTCAGGGAAATTAGTATGCAGGTGAAGTTCCTTATGGTGTATACTTGTCTTCAAGGTTCAAACTAGTTCATATGTATCAGAAATCAATTGTTAAAAAAAAAATTAATTATAAATATTGATTTCAACAACTGCAAATATATATTACAGTTGTAAGTTTAGAATTATATTTAAAACTTAAATATTTGATTTGCAATTAAGATTTTTGAATTTACAATTATTTCAATTGATATTTGTAACTCACTCATTGGAATTTTTTTTTAGAAACTTAACTCTATAAAGAAATATTTCAAAAACTTGTCATTAAATTGATTTTTTGGATTCTAACAGAAATTCTTCTTATCATTAAATTGATTTTTGGATTCTAACAGAAATTCTTCTTAAACTCTTCCACGAGCAATTAAAATTTGATGAAAAAGCTATTTGGGGCTAGTGCATGTGGCAAGGCTGAAGTGAAGTAAAGGGGTAGTTCAAAGGTTTGACTCCTCCTAATGCATCTTAAAGATTGAATAAAAAAATTCAAGTTCTACGACAAGAAAAACAAAGTTGCTTCCAATTTCATATCCTTTTTAGAGTTGAAAAACAAGCGGATCTAACTTACATGAACTAATCAAGCTGAGGATCTTGCCAAAAAACAAGTATAGTAAAAATCTTTAAATATAAGTTTCACTTTTGGCAAAATAATAATAATAATAATAGTTCCTCCATTTAAAAATATAAAGTATTTTTTGAAGAGTTGGATATTCAAAGATGTAAGACATTTTAGTCTTTTAAGATATAATTATTACTTTTTTTTTTTTCAAAAATGCCCCTATTGATAGTAACTTTATATTTATTATAGTGTGTTTAATAGAGATAAATATGAAAAGATAAGATTAGTTTAAAAGTAGGTAACTACTTTATTGAAGGGTGAGATTCGGTGAAAAATGCCTTACATTTTTAAATGGAGAGAATAATAGGTTCCACATTATTATAACATATCCAAGCTTGAATCCAAGCTCTAAAAAATGAAATTTATATATTTTAAAATCCAAATTACAAGTAAAAAATGAAATATTCATTAATCCTCATCTTTATCATTTGAAAACAAAATATTTAACTTTTCAAAAGTTGGCTTGAATTGCTAGCAATGGAGGTGCTCTCTCAACAATCCTACCACCTTCGTTATCACCTGAAATAAATATTTACCAAATTATCATTTTCATATTTCACTCAAAAATTAAAATATACAAATCAAATGATAGTACATTGTCATTTAATAAATAACCATGAAGCTAATTATGTGTGCAAATGGACTAAATAAACAAAAACAAAAACAAGTTTAAACAAGTAATCCAAATTTAAGTCACTTTTTCGGTTTATAATAGTTACTAGTAATATTTATTTGCACTTGTATATTTTTCTTTATTTTAAATTATTGAATGCTCCTGGCTAATGATTTTTTAAGTATTTTTACCCTTTTATCTATTTTCAAGTGGTAAATTTGTGGAGTTAACTTCTCTCCTACTACTAATCCCTCCTCCTATCTTCTCCACTATTGGATATTAGCTTCAATGGTTGAGATTTAATATATTTTAAAATTATTATTATAATATTAAATAATAAATAAATAAATTTAATTTATTAAAATTTGCTTCAAGTGTTTAGAAGTGTGATAAAAAAATATTTTATAAAATAATATTTTTCTAGTTTTATAATATGTTAAATCTTGACCACTGAAGTTGTGATCCAAAGGCGAAAAAGATTGGAGGCAGGATTAGCAACAGAAGGGAAGCTAACTCCAACATGGTGCAACCTTCAATTTTAGGATGCCCAATGTGCCCAGAGAAAAAGTTAAGCGATAAAATTAGACTTTAATTCAATATTAAATTACACAAACATTCTTTGAATTTTATTAAAATTTCCCAGATTTCTTTTAATAATTTCAAAATATATAAAAACATCTCTAGCTCATAAAAAAGATGTATGATTTCATGAACTTTTAAGAGGGATATAATTTTGTGATCTGCCTTTCTTCGTGCAGGTATTGAAAATAAACGAGAGGCAAAGTTTATGTAATTTAGTGAAACTTAACAAGATAATCCATGTTAATCATTTGTATTTTTAGAGAAAGTTTGTTTAAAATTTCAAAATAGACATAAGAGATTTTAATAAAATATTTTTTAGTGTTGAGCTCAGCACCTTTAAATTAAATCCTCAAAGATTTACCATGAAGATTTAATAAAAGATTTTTGTAATAATGTTTTTTTGTTGGAGTTACATATACGTCCTTAATATGAATCGATATGTTAAATGGGTAATTATTTTTCATTTATGAGTAATAATTCTATATATTCCAATTCAATGAGAATTGATAAAAATCAAGAATTAATTGTGAATTACTTCTAGATATACATTTTTTTACCTGAAGTAATATATACATATTGGAAGAACACCAAGAGTAACTTTAATCAATGAAAAAATGGTTTCAATTTTGAAAGGTAGTCAAATATATAGTGTTCAAAAATAAAAAATATAGTAATGTACCCTTTATTACCGAAAAAAAAAAGAAAGACACACACGCAGAGTGTTTATTGGCCCTTCATTTGCGACAAAGGATCAAAATTTAGGCCTATCCCAAAGGTTTTACTGAATGTGCCAATTTTTTTTTGGGGGGGGGGGTTTTGTATAGAAGTTGCATTTAAATCAAACAAAAAGAGTATTTATAGATATTAAACGGGCTTCTTAATGTGGGCTGCAAAAATGGGCCTTTCATTTTGTTTTCGGTAATTGGTTCATTTAGCCCGTAAACTGGCTGGGAATATAACCCCAGCTTCGGCATCATCATCTTCTTCCTCTCCAGTCCTTCAAAACTCTACCCTACTGGTCTTTCACTAGCATTGTGTTGCTGCCAAAATGGGTATGTGCCATGTAACTCTAAATTCATTATTCTTGTTCTTTCCCTATGTTTTCACGCGGCATGACATTCTTCTACTCGGGAATATGCAGGCATCTCTCGTGATTCCATGCACAAAAGGCGTGCCACTGGAGGCAAGAAGAAAGCTTGGAGAAAGAAGAGAAAGTAATTATGTTCCCTTTTGTGTTCTTGTTGCTTTAACGATATCTTGAACTTTAATTCCCTTCTCTCCGTTTGTTGTGAAGTTGGTGATTTGGAAACGTTGCGATTTACTTTTGACTTATCAAGAGAAGTTGATGTCACGATATAAAGCTATCGATTGGCTGGATGATTATTTATAGTGTCCCTAGAAGTGTGGAAAGTTCATTCGGCAGGATATATCATTGAATTGTTTGATTTATCCGCTAGAATCAACGTCGCAGCTCTCTTTCATTTTTTTTTGATGTATTATATATTATAAATGTCTCCTATCATTATTTTTGGTAGTGAGAACTAAATTCAACTAATCTAATATCTGTTGGTTATAGTTTAAGCTAAAGACGAGGCACACAAAGATGGAAATTTTCAACCTTTGTTGCTTAACCCTCTTCCCTGTATTGGTTCATATTGCATCATGATGATAGAAATGAGGTTGAGCAATGAATGTTTGTCCAGATTGGATGAAGAAATCAGTCTGGGGGAATCGTATATTTTGGAAATACCGTAGTTACCCCTCTTTTTTCAATGCTAAACAGTGTTCGAAGAATCAAGTGACATGACATTTTTCTTCCTTGGGATTCCTTTGTTGCAGGTATGAGCTTGGAAGGCAACCAGCTAACACTAAGCTATCAAGCAACAAAACAGTGAGAAGGGTTAGGGTTCGAGGTGGCAATGTTAAGTGGCGTGCTTTGAGGCTTGATACTGGAAATTACTCATGGGGCAGTGAAGCTGTGACTCGCAAAACTAGGATTCTTGATGTTGTGTACAATGCTTCTAACAATGAGCTGGTTCGTACTCAGACGTTGGTCAAGAGTGCAATTGTTCAGGTTGATGCAGCACCTTTCAAGCAGTGGTATCTCCAACATTATGGTGTTGACATTGGTCGCAAGAAGAAGACTGCAACTTCTGCCAAGAAGGAAGGGGAGGTAATGCAATCGCTGGTTTTATTATATGTTTCAACTCACCTGGTGGTAATGCATATTTGCTTCTTATATAGACATGGTTTCCAAGTCAAATTATGTGCTCTTGATATATACTTTGAGATAACTTCCAAGTAGTGGCTACTGGAAATGTTTTTTATTGCTTGTGTGGATATTACACTATAGATGATGCTTAAGTTCACTATGGCTACCTCATTCAATTTTGTTGCTCAAGTTATTAGATGTGCAACGGCTTGATACTTAATGTTTCTGGCTTGATACTTAATGTTTCTGTTAATGTCATATATATTTATTCTGTTGTTGATAAATAGATCCAGTTTTAATTGTTTATTCAAGTGTTGCGAAGTTTCTATGTACAAAATGCTGTTTATGTTGTCTCTGTCTGTGCTCTCATTTCTCTAAATTGAGGATGCTATATGAAAAGCGGTAGTATTTTTGAATTCAACAAAGATGATTATCTTTAACTAATTTTTATTAAACTTAACAATCAATATATATCAATATATATAAGTTGTAAGAAGTCGCATTGTTTACAAGCCAGGAACGGTGTAACTCATCTTGGGTTGTGTGTAAATTCTCTGGACCCACCATAGTTTACATTATTTATTTTAAATATTTCATAGTTAGCCAGGTAGCCTTGAAATGTTATTAACACCATTTCCTTATCTCTTGATTAACAGGAAGGTGAAACTGTGACCGAAGAAGTGAAAAAGAGCAATCATGTATTGAGAAAGCTTGAGAATCGTCAACAGAACCGGAAGCTGGATCCTCACATTGAAGAACAATTTGGAGGTGGTCGTCTATTGGCTTGCATCTCTTCTCGTCCTGGTCAATGTGGTCGTGCTGATGGGTATGTGGACAATTACTCCTTTTGCCACTCTATATATCAAGTGCATTGTCCCCAGCCATTTTGCTGTTCAAAAGTTGGGATTGTTGAACAATTTTGTGAACTCTCTTCTATGCTCTGACTTGTTGGGTGGTATAGAATCACACACTAGGCAGAGGGAGTAATAAAAGAATTGCATTCCATTGATATAATTGAATAGCATTCTTATCACATTCTATGCAGCAATCTTCATTTATAAATGGCCACAAATGCCACCAAGATGTGGGTAAAGGAATGAAAATGGTCAGATGCTTCTTGTTATCTAGTCTAGGGTCGAGCAAAAATGTGGTCAACATTGCAATATGGACTTAGTTTACGTTGCACCAATACTTTAGAGAAGGAGATATGTATTCAATACAATATGCATATTGCATTACTCCCTCTGGTCTTATTTATAAGACCCTACCCATTGGTCTTTAATCCAAGAGCCCTTACAAAATTTAATGAAATAATGATACGTTTTCAAAAACGCTTTTATCTCTTGCACCCTTAACTTGAATAATGGCTTTAGTTTTGATTAAAAGTAGTTTTGGGAAGTTGTAAATATCCTTGATATTTAACTAAATTTAACTAATTTCCTTAATTTTAGGAAAGTAGTTAATACAGTCCTTATAAAAAGGACTGTAAGAAATACATTAATACGTGCAACATATTGCTCTATTTGTGTTGTAGGTATAAAAAGGACTGTAAGCAATCTTTGATATGCATGGAGATGAAGATTGACATTTAGTTTGAATTGGAAATTATAGTTTTGATTTATTTTGGACCCTTTATTGGTAGCTTCTTCTGAAATTATTCTGATTGAAATAGTTGTTTACAACTCAATTTTCTTATAATGGTTGTGTTTCTAATGTGTTAATTTGTTGAATATTCTCCGACCTAACTTGATTCAATTTTTGTCAGGTATATTTTGGAGGGTAAAGAACTGGAATTCTACATGAAGAAGATTCAAAGGAAGAAGGGCAAGGGTACAGGTGCTGCCTAAGATTTATCCTCCTTTCTTTAATCGAAATTTCATGCTCAACCTTCTGTATCAGATATATTTAGATCAGTTTTGGTATTTCTCCACTTTTGGAAGAGTTTGAGATATATATGTTTCGGTGTTAATTTAGTCATGACTCTTATTACTAACAGTGCCACATGTTTCAATTTATCATAGCCCAATCCATTGATTAAAGACCTTATAATGCATTGACCTTCATTATTTTGGCATAATCAGGAATGTCACGTTTTTTCTTCTTGAGCATTGTGATGTAGAAATGTTACATGTTTATTCAATAAAATACCTATTTTCAAAGTGGTGAAAATATTAATGAATTTTGAAATATTCATTTTGCTTTACATGTGTATCAACTAACTGTATCAGCAATTGAATTGGTAAAGATACTATTTCAAAGTTTAATATCGGGAGAAATTTAGGAGATTATTCTCCTCAGATTTTGACAATGGCACATTCAGCTGGTTGACTCGTTGTTCAGAAAAATGGAAGCTGTATTATTTGTGTTTTGGGGGGCAATTAAGGTAATTACAGATATTTTAAAACCCTTTTAGGGAAAATAGACATGTTGGCTCTTGTTGTTTATGCTTCCTTTGATAATAAGGATCAAGTGTCCTTCTTAAGGAGTTAGGGAAGAGTGAAAATGGCTATATGACATTAATATCCTTCCTTAAAATAACCAAAATGAATCTTCAAAATCATGGCCATTATTTCAATATAAAATAAAAAAGCTAAACTTTTTACGAGACATGTTGTTTAGATATTTAAATATGATAATATTTATTTTAAAAATTTGAAATTAACATACTATAGATCATAATGGCACACAATAGTCCAAATATTTGATTTTGGGCAAGTTTAAAAGCACAACTTTTATTTCATGATAGAATGTTTCTTTCCTCAGTATCAATGAAGAAACCCCGGTTGCCAAATTTGAGGGACGCACCGAATTTTTAGAAACCTAAATAATTTATAACAAACAATAAGATAAACTACTTTCATCCATATCAAACATGAATCGTGCGAAAATGAAGTGCCTTAGAATAATAATAAAAAAAAATCCAAATCAGCTTTGTCCGCTGTCAAAAAAAATTTAGTAACAAACCAATGAGAATTGGGTTTAATGAAAAATACTAGTCTCATCTAACATGGTGAATTAAAGGTTAAATTCTCATTAAAAGACATGCTCATATTTAGTTTCTCATACATGATTGTTTTTAATAAAAAAATACTTGTGGATAGTTTAAAAAAAGAAGTTGGTAACGATGAATACTCCTGAATTTCATGGACACAAATGATGCAATTATGAATCTCATGGAGGGATCAATTTTGGCTCATGATAAACACTCAATATGCTTTGCACACAAGCTGGACAAGAAGTGGTGTTTCTAATGGCAAATAAGGAAAGATAATAGCTTACTTAATCAATAGTTAGATTCAAGAGAACGATCAACTGTAGTCAAGGATGAAGGGAGTATGGGATCTTCAAGAGTTAAGGCCTTTTCAAGTTTTTAAATTTTTCTTAGTATCATATAAATGTTACATACTTTTTGGTCATCAAAATTTATAAAAGCTTTATAGTTTATATGTTTTTTTAGTCTTGGCCATTCTCATTGTTAAATCTTGGCTCCACCCTTGGCTAAACATGACTATGAACTTTAACTAATGAGCATTACTTTGATTGAGGAATAAACTCATTTGCTAGCAAATAGTTACTTTGCTTTGGTCCCTATGACTTGTTTATTATCAATTATATCGCTATAGTTTCATATCATGATTTGGAAACAACATAAGAAAAATAAAAACATTCTACTTTTGTGGGGTGGGGGAGAAGATGCTCGAATTTTGAAGTTTTGTATGTTTATGAAACTAATGTCATTTCCCTTGCTCTCTTTTCAAATCATAAGGACTACTTCCATATAGTTATAAAATTGTAGAGACATGATCAAATTATAAGGATCAAATTAATTAAAAAAAAAAAGGACCAACAATGTCATTTCCCATTAAATTATTAAGGATGTGATTGACATTTTTTTTTTTACTTCAATTTGATTCCAATGTTAGTTTTTAACCAAACATCTCCTATTCTGACAGTCTTTATTGTACAACAAATCAAAATATAGTTTAATCAATGCTTCTCAAGATATATTTCGAAAGCAAAAATACACTTTCAGCCATGTAAAATACTCTTTCTAGTCTAAAAGATAAGTATCTTTTAATGATAATAATTTGTATATCAATAAAATCCTTATTCCTATGAAAACATATATTGCTTTCCCTTTTTACTTATAATTTCAATTAATGATGAGAGAGAAAGTCATAAATTAACAAATACAAAAATTGAAGATAATAAATACAAGGGGTGAAATTGAAAAAAAAAAAATTACAAATACTAAGTTGCTTATATTTTGAATCAAGATTAACAAGAAGAAAATGCATATATTCTATACCAGAGTATACAATATACAACAAACTACTCAATTTGAGTCATGATTTATGTTCACATCTATATTTATTTAAAAAAAAATGTTACAATCACCAAGACATGAAATATTTTGTACCATGATAATCTTAGCAATAATAAAAAATTCGGAGAAGAAACTCAAGGGACAAGGCAAGGACCAGTAGAGTATATCCATCAACTCCACAAAGTCTTCCTCCATAGGCATACATATTTCTGCTTGCAACACTTGCTGTGTCTCAGAAAGGAAGGCATGCCTTGAACACTCCCAATCAAAAACAAAACCAAATAGGCAATCTTAGTCCACCTACAAATATTTTCAAAGCAGGGATGATGATTGCTGCTTGGCAATGGTAAGCATTCCATCCATTCTTTTACAAGTCAAAAATAAATAAGGAGCAAGAATCAGAACAAAAGCCATCCGAACCTTGTTCATTTATTAAAACCAGATCTTTTAAATGTGTCCTTGAGCAAATCACTGCGAGCTATACTCCGGGCTTGCTGTGGCGGAATGTAACCATACTTCTTTCTCAATACCTCTTTGACGAAGTCATTGCGAGCTTTGATTCGAGCTTGCTGGGGAGCAACATTGACATAAGAAAGATGAACCCCATAAGCTAACATGGCAGTCCCAGAGGCAAAACAAGCAATGCTCATTGCCAATTTCTTTGGTGTTGAGGGAAAGCATAGTACCATGTTTTGTTCAAACAAAGATATATCTAGCAACCTATCACACAATAAAACATCATTATTCTTCAAGCCATGCCTAGTACGGATTGAGACCATGTAATCAATCGCCTTACAACTCAAACTTGTATTTAAAAAAAAAAAAAAAAAACTCAGGACTGATAGAAGCATATATGTTTTCTCTTGCGGACTTTCTGAAAGACAAACATGTAGTGATATCAATTAAAAGCACAAATTTATTTTCAAAGGGATAGAGCATATATATAATTCTTACTTTTATCTATTAGTTCTCCAATACAACAAAACTATTCACATCTCATCATTCCACATCAGGATTTCCAAAAAGAAAAAAAGTAATGAATGTAAACTTGTATTGATTGTGATGGAATCATACAAAGCTATTTGATAAGTTAGGCTACTTATATACATCTATATAACCTCCTAACCTCCTAATTAACTTAACCACTCTCTCAAGCCAACAAAAATCACATGTTATGTCATTAAAAGTTGATAATAAACACACAAAATGCATTTTAGTCTAGTACTTCGAATAAGACTTCCTGTTACAAAAGTTCATGAATATGCAAGTAGCTACATCTTAGCTTTACAGGAAAAAAAGATTTAAGCTGGACCATAGAACCACCTCTGATCTTGAACAGAGTTGAATAAGCCAAATTACTTCGTAATTCTTATATTTTATAATCCATTCAGTTATTCAGTAGAAAGAAGTAACTCCACGGAATTCAGATTCTCGGTTTTTTCTAGGAAAATGAGTAATTTTGAACTGAATTTGTTATTCAATCATAGGCGGACCGATACTAGATGCCCCACTGAAATCTTTGAAATATGCATAGTTGATATAATAACCTTTTAATTTTTGTTCCAGATGCTTTGACACAGCTCGAGCCAGTTCATTTACGAGATCATACAACATAAATACCTTGATAATTTTCCAAAATTGATAATAATAAAAAAAGATTAATAAACAGACTGCCAATTCTCAACAAATCCAACATTGCAAAACACCACAATCGAATCATACAAGTCGCTAGTTATCAAAATGGAAAGGGAAGAAGTATAATAGCCAATTACACAACATTCGCGCAAACGCTAGTACCAAAAAAAAAAAAAAAATCAACATGTATATATTCCCAAATTCAAAAGCATCAATATTCGAACGGTTACACGACCAGATTCAAAGCCAAATTAAATTGAAAATTTTAAAATAAAACAAGAACAGATAACAGATGACGCGGGGAACAAATTCAAATCTTGATTCAAAGCCACATTGAACAAATCAATTTCACCGGATTTCGGGAGTAGAAAAAGCCCTAGGGTTCGAACCTTTTTCACCGCTTGCACGTGAAAACGGTGACAAAGTTGGACGGCGTCCCGCAGTGTGTGGAATGCTTGTCCATCGACGAAGAGAAATGGACCCGCAGAAAGTGTTTTATCGGAATTGTAGTTAATTTTGAGAGTAATTTGGTAATTGAATTACGTCGAAAATTAATTACTCAAAATAATAAAAATTATTTTATTAATGTGTATATAAATATTTGTTTTTTATACTCAAACTCCTCTTTAACAAATAATATTTTGAAAAATTCTCTTGTATCAAATATTTCATTCATTTAAAAATATAAGGTATTTTTTTAGAAGTTAAATATTTAAAAATATAAAATATTTTTAACTTTTCGAAATATAATTATTACTTTTTTTTAAAAGTATCCTTATTAATGATGATTTTATATTTATTGTAAAATATTTAATAGAGATAAATATAAATAGTTATGATTAGTTAAAAAGTATGTAACTATTTTATTGAGAGATGATATTCAATTAAAAATGTCTTATATTTTTTAACGAAAGGAGTAACATTTTTTTACAATAATTTTGTTTAAAATCTTGGATTCACTGAATGTACTTTTTTGTTTTAATTTTTTTTCTTGTTATCATTCTTTTTTATTTTCTCACACTTATTTTTTCAAAAATATTTTCCAAATAATTAAAAAGTAAAATTGATATGTAGGTCCTTCTGATTTTCACTGACTTTAAATTAACTCCTTTAGTTTGTTGTGTGTTAATCTATTCTCATACTTTCATCGACTAAATATATAAGTCACTAAATATTAAAAACATGTTTAAAATATATTTTTAATAATTTAATTTTATATAAAATTTTATTTTGATCCCTTACTTTTATAAATTACATTTTATTTTAGTCATTTAATTCTAACACCACTAATTTGATATTATTGTGTTAAGGTTGAAAGACTAAAAGTATATTTTATAAAATTAAAAAATTAAATTAAAACCTTATATAAGTTAGAGAAATGAAAATATATTTTAGCCTAAAAATATTAATAAATGATGAACCTTTTCAAAACAAAAGCACTTAAATTTGTAGAAATGTTGATTTAATACTTTTGGCCAAAAAAGTAAAATGCAAATTTGATTTTATAACTTGTTTTCATTTTTATTATTTTTTTTATGAAAATTCTATATATATACAAGTTATTTATAAAACATAATTATAAATTTTGAGTTATACAACTATGTAATTAATTCAAAAGTTTTATATTCTTTTAATAAAAAAATATAAAAATTCTTAATTTTATTTTTTGGAAGAAAAAATTCAAGGATTTTAACATATTTAATTGAACAAATTATAAGAATTTAATTATAACAAAATAAATTACGACGGCCCAATTCAAAATTGAGAAAAATTAGAAAGGCTTGTAAATTATTTTTTTTTTCAAATAAAAAAATCTTAACCTTTTTGTTTCTTTGCCCCAACAATCTTAATCTTTTATTGTATTGAATTAGATGAAAAAATAAAAATTGACTTAAAGAAAGTGGAACAGGTGGAAACATATTTTATCACATAATTTCATATCAACATAATAATAATATAGAGAGAGAATATGTGTGAATAGTAAAGATAATAATTTAAAGTTAAAATTATGCATAGGTCCTGTATAAGAAATTTATTTATCAACAAGTCTTGTGAAATTTTAAAAAAAAACCCCTTTAAGACTTGAATATAATTTAAAGTTTAGATATAAAGATAATACTATCCTTATTAATTTAACTTTCATTTATAATTATAACTTCATTACAAGTGAAAATTCATAATTTAAAAGTCAAATTTATTGTTTAACACTATACCATGAGTCCCCATGAGGTTAATTATACCTATTTAAGTCTATAATTACTGAGTGAAGTACAAATTTTACATCCCAACTAAATCAATTATAGTATTAAGCAGGCATAATTAATTTCATGAAAATTCCATGTTATATCAATATTAAATAAGAAATTTGACTTATGAATTATAAAATTTTACTTATAAATTTTGAAATTGTAGTTATAAATGAAATCCAAATTAATAGGGACAATTTTGCAATTGCAGCCCAGTCACAAATTATACTCAATTTCCAAATTACTAAGTTATAATTTTTAAATTTTGTTAAACTTATTTGTAAATAAATCTGTTATACAAATCTATTTGTAACCCCCCCCTTTTTTTGCTCCTTTTTGTAAATATAAGTTAAGGTCACCTATGTATTACCCTAATAGATAGCTAGCAAGCAATGCTGGCAAAAAGCTTAACATCGTAGTTGGAAGAAGGAAACAAGTTAGAGCAATTGCAGATCAAAGAAAGGACATAGAAGAGTCAATGACAAGGGATGAGATCACCAACCTTAGATTGACATTTACATACAAATTTTACACTACCCCGGCTCAAAGCATCAGATTTTCTGAATCGAAAGGAATAAGAGAATACAAAAATATGAGCATATGCAATCATCTCTTGTACTAGTACAATATGCATAAGCGAAGAATCGATATCAATATACAACATAAAATGAGACCTCATGTATGGCAGATGCTTGCCCCAGAAAAACCGAGTTACGTGCGCCATCAAGAATAATTTCTTTTGGTTAATCACATCCATAGTCAAATTCAGATTAGCAAGTTGGACCTCTCCAGCTAAGCGAACTTTGCTTCAACTAGAAATTAGTGATTGTGTCATCTACATTAACCAGATTCATTATAACGGCCAAAAATTGCAACATAAGCTATGAAGCCAATTGAATTTTCAATCACCTTCCATTAGGTTAGAGACCAGCAATGTCAGCACAAACAATCATCAACATCCAAGGCTTTTCACTATGCTGGTTAACTCATTGATAACAACTCCAGGATTCGCATATGACTCGTCAAGGTTGATGGCATGATACTCCAATCCTTTCCACCGGGCGATCAACTGAAAGTGCGGGCGTCTGAATTGGGTGCTGATAATCTCCAAAATAACAGTATTAGGCAATGCAGATACGATGTGAGTTAGACCAGCACCATGAGCACCAATGATAACTGATGCATCTTGAATGGCTTGGACCTGCTCCTTCAAGGGCATGTGTGCAAACAATCCATTCACAACGTTAATGTTGCACCCTTCATAATTAGATGCCCAGCTCTTCAAGGACTGAAAGACTTCAGGCTCATTACTAAGTCTTGATTCAACTTTACCACCATGACGTGGATGAGCTAAATAATCTTCACGACGAACAAAAAGGACATTATGAGTTGAGAGATGTTTGCTCACAATGTGTTTCCTTAAGGGTAACCCAAAAGATATTCTGATAATTTCTCCAAACTCCGATAGACGTGCAGTCTTCAGAGTATCAGGGTTTTGCCACAGCTCATGAGCAGATGCACCCTTACAATGAATATCTTCAGTAAGACCTTTAAACAGTGCTGTTTCATATCCCAAAGGAGACAGAACGGCATGGCCAAAACATACAGGACCACTGAAGTTTTTAGCATATCTGAGGCTCGAGAACAATGCTTTCCATGTCTCTTCCAGGGGTGTCTGAAAATTTTCACCAGTATTAGAAAAGTAGCAGGTTTATAACGCATTTCAATATTCTTTGAACTTTCCAATTTGCAACAAGAAAAGCAATTATATGTTTCTTCACAGATTAATTTAATTAAATGGAAGAATAGCAATGGTATTTAAGTAAACATATGGCTTCTGAAAGTCACACTTTAACTGGAATTGAAAATAAAAATCAGCTTCCATTCCATCCAATTAGTAATGCAAAAGAAGACAAGTATTTCAATCTAGATAGCTGCAGTAGAAATAGGTGTATTGCTAGCAAACAAGCAAAAATAATTTCTGAAGTTTCAACCTTAACTGAAATGAAAAAAATAAAACGACTTTTAACATCATTTTTTTTTTGGGCAAGCACCCAGCCCTTCTCAGTTTTTCAAATGAGAAAGTAAATTACAACCTTAAGGATTTGAGAATTTTGGGATTCAAGATTAGGACATTTCGCCACAAAAGGGTCTTTTGTTTTGTTTTGTTTTTTTAAATGATCTGTCCTGATTAGGCTGATTTATTTCTAAGTCAAAGAGGGTGCACTGCATGGCAAGGAGAACGGTGTCAACAGGTGTTGCTCTTAATGATAAATGGGCAGAAGGTTTTGAACGCTGTACGTTGAAAGCTTAAAGGGCTTAATTTCTAGATTTTAAGTTAAAAGGGGAGTATACAAACATCCCGAAGTTGCAGTGGTGATTTTCAATTTTTACAGAAGTCACTAAATACTGAATTCTCATTGCAATAAACACGTGGAAGTGAATTTTCCAAGTTGGAGATGAATGGAAACTAAGGTGGATCACTGGCAAACTAAAGTGTGAAGATTCAGTAAACTAATCAAGCAAACAATAGAATCACCATAAAAATGAGTCCAAGAGGATGACTACTCCATGAAATACCACCAACAACAAATTGAAAAGACTTGACACTTTTAGAATACTTTCTCGGTGGGACTTGCAGTCACAAGGAAGAGAACAAATAAGTGTAACAGATACTTAAATATCAAAATAGGTACACTTATGGCTAGCCTAAACACCTCCTATTTGGCAAAGAAGAACAATCAAGTCACATTTGCAGCCCCCAACAAATAGTTCAGAAAGGAATTTCTCATGCATAGCCCCAATATACCCAAAAAAAAAAAAAAGACATGAATTACGTTCAAAATAGCTTTTAAGAAATAACAAAAGTAATTGTCTAACATTAATAACTAATCCAGTCTATACTTTTCTATATCTGAAGCAGTTATGATGAGAAGCTGCAACCATTAGATAGTATATGAAACCAAAAACAATAAGAGCGTTGTGCATTTGCCATTCTCAACCACCTGAAAAATTACAATAAGAAGACACAGATCACATCACTGGCAAAAACAAGCGGCATGTTCAGTAGGTTCCAAACACCCAACAGAATTTTCACAACAGGCTGCAATTCCAACATCTTGTGATTGGTACCATCATGGGGCTGGCATTTGAGACTTGAAAGGGTATTTGGACAGAGAAGCTCATTAAAGTTACACTTCTTCATCAATATATAATAATAGTTTTTACCATCCTAATTGCCATTTGCAGAATACCAGGTTTTATTTTCCTTACAACATCTTTTTTGGGCTCTGTGATGTCAATGATAATAGAATAAAGGGAAAACATAACTTTGGGTTCTTGCACTTTACTTACATTTTGCTATGGATCCCTTCACTTTTGTTTCGGTGTTTTAAGTCCCTACACTTTTATTTTTCATTGCTTTAGGTCCCTCCATGAACAAAGTGTAGGGACCTCAGAGGGACTTAAAGCAATGAAAAACAAAAGTGTAGAGAACTAAAACATTGAAAAAAAGTGCAGAGATCAGTAGCAAGACGCGAACAAAGTGCAAAGACCTAAAGTTATATTTTCCCTAGAATAAACACACATCTCCAAAATAAATTTTATCCTGATGTTTGCTAATTGGCTCACTGGTACTTACATTGCATTCTGTCTGTAGAAGAGAATAGTTGACTTATTTGATTTCATTCATATAAGCAAGTAAATATGCACACAAAGTAGGAGCATCTATCAGTATGACTCATTATTATGCTGAAAATTATGTTATCCCTACAATCAATCAGAATGTGATTGCAATATTTACAATGAATTATGACTCATTATTATGCTGAAAATTATGTTATCCCTACAATCAATCAGAATGTGATTGCAATATTTACAATGAATGAAAGAATATTTCCAATCCCTAACACTGTCAGTACAAAGAATTTATGTCACTTGGCCAAAATGTAGAAAACAAGGCTTTAGAGAGACTACAGGAGAGAACAAAAAGTGACAATGATGTGTTTCACCCTAGAGTGAACAATTAAATAAGGACAACAATAAAATTCTTAGTTTCTCCGAGCACATAGATATCCAAAACCAATATGTTTAACTGCAAATAAACTTTTTCAATACTCAAGACATCCAATAAATGAGCCATCACATGTTATTCTTATATTGGTGGTGATTTATATTTTATTGAGCAACCATAGTTACTCTTTGTAAGTAATGCATCGCAAAATTTCTTCTACAAGCTACGAATTAAAATATTGGAATCCATGGGAAATCAACGCTTGATCCAACAGTTGAATTTCAGACAGATAGGAGGGGAAGGAAAAAAAAAAAAAACAAAGCCCACATGAGCATGCCAATCTCTAAACTTGTACCTACTCCAGTCCAACAAGTATTTTTCAAGGTTTATATCTAAAAATTTCAAGTTCGAGTCCTATTCATTCAACTTCTTACTGGAAACACCAGCAATGACTAACTATTGGAAGCTGCCTTGAAAATACACATTGCAAATTTGCTTCTTGTTTTCTTTTCTTTGATTTCGTTTGGAGGCAAAAGTTCACAAAATGACAGCATGAGAGACATGAAAGATACTAGTATAACACATAACTGATCATGCGTACCATACAGTGACCATCAACAAACACCAGATGAGGTCGATTAGGCAGGCTGGTGACTCTTGAAGAAACATAAGCACTGTACCAGTCCGTAACTGTGTGAAAAAGATTCGCATACTCAAATCGTGTCACCAGAAGGACGGGCTCCTCGATCCACTGCAAGTCAAGACCACACGTCAGATTAGAGGCTAGCAAGCAGTGGGTAGGAGAACCCAAAAGGATAATGAGACTAGTAAGCATATCAATAGAAAGAAACCATGAAATGTTTTATCTTTCCCTTTTTCTCCAATACTTCAATAGGTTTGTGATCAAGTGCATTCACCACTCTGATAACATAATATTGGTTCCAAATTTTCATAACATGTCTAAAATTAACATCTAGAAGCTTAGAGATAAGAACGATCTAGAGCTAACAATACCTGCAAACGCTGAGGTGACCAAAGTGGACAAATTAACACACATAAAATTAAAAGATGATACAACTTCCATTTTTCCTAGAAACCTCGTTACCTCATCACAAGCAAATTCCTTATCTCCAACGACCCGAATCGAACCAATCAAGTCACGCATTGTATGCCTCAAAATCTCACCTTCAGGCACATACCGATCCAAAATCTCTCGGCTCACGAGCCTTTTCTCACCATTAACAGTCCATTCTTTCCCCACAACCTCAAACGCACCGTCTTGAAACACAGGAAGTTCATCCTCCTCCGTCCTCCCAATGACCTCCTGCAACATCTCACCTCCTCTCGACATCACAATTCTCTCCGGCACCATCCGAAGCTTCCCTCCCTCGCATATCGAGCTCCGCAGAGTCTCACTGTACCAACACCGGAACCACCCGCTTCCACCGGCGGAGATATTGGGTTTGGGAGAGAGGAGATCAAGGCGGCGTGTGAAGCCATTACCAAAATAGGCTTCGCAAGAGTGCAAGGGTACAGAATTAGCGGATTGCGACCAGGGGAGGTAAGAGGGAAGAATGGGCCAAGGTTTTAAGAAGTGGGTTTGGGTTTGGGTTTGGGTGTGGGTGTGGGGGTGGGGGTGGGTAAGGTGGGTTTGATGGTAACCCAGTAACAAGGGACGACGAAGTGGTGGGCGAGAATAAGTTGGGAAGCGAAATGGTTTGGATGAGTGGCAAGTGAAGTAGACGAAGATAGAGAGGGAATTGAGAGCGAAGAGAAATATGAGGATCTTCATAAGCAGATCATTTCTTATGTTCATCGCTTATTTCCCCCTCCGAATCTGCGATGACGGAGGAGGAGGTGCGTGCAGCAGCGAGCCCGGAGCGAGATCGAAGATGTTCGGCCGTCCGGCAGGAAGTGGAGATATTGAGAAGAGTAACCAATTAACCAACCTTGTATTTTGCGTTAAATTACACATGACTGCCCTTTAATTTAAAATTATACAATTTAATTTAATCCATTAATTTTTTTAAGAATATTTTATTTAAAAAATTAAAAAATTATTTTTAAATTAAAATTTATACTTAAGCTAATTTTACTTACTGCTATACCCTTTCCCACCTCTTTTCTGTCACTAGCCCTTGGCTAATGTTCATCACTCAACCCCTCCATATAAAATTAACTATTAAATAATATAATCAATTAGCCAATATTTTTATTGAATACAGAATGATTGTTGTTCTGTCTAGTTTATTTTAGGAAAAATTACAGCGAAGCACATATGGGGCATTTAATTTATAGAGAATGACTAAATAATTCTAAATTCATGTCATAGGATTAAGGGATCAAAATGTAATTAATTTTTAGTGTAAAAAGATAAAACTATTCCTCATTTTTTTTACAAAAAAAATCTCATCACTATCATCGATTGGGAGACAATTTTTTTTTTTTTGTTAAGTAGACAAGGTAGAATTTGAATCCACATCCTCTTAACTACTAAAAGAGATAATTAGCCACTAGGCTAACAATCCATTTTAATTATATATATAACTTTGTTTTCACTTTCCATACTAATATTTATATATTCAAACCCCACATTTTGGTTATTGGTACACTTGACTACTTTAAAGAATGTCTCAATTCTCTTCACCCATTCCTCCGTCATGGATAGTTTAAGGTCACCATCAAATATGGGAGGGTTAAATTTCTTAAAAGTTTCCCATACATTAATAATGGAGGCGGGGCTCACTGTTGCTCCTGCCTAGTCCCCTCCCTCCTATGCTTATGATCTCTAGGAATAGTAGGATGTGAAAAATTGCCTTCCCTATGTGACTCTCAATGTGGGTGCCCTACCACTATTCTCAATAATCTTTTGCCTCTTGAGCTTAGTCAAATCTTGTTCTTGTCTTTGGACCTTGTCCGTCAAGGTCTTCACAAGCTCTCTCAATTCCACTAAGTCAAGCTTTTCGTTTGGCGATGAAGGTGGTGGTCACTCATGTTGGAACCCCAAGTTATCGTGAGTAACTAGCATCCTTTCTTCCCTCCTAAAGGATGTAGGATATATACAAAAAAAGTTAGCCTAACAAAATAATGGCCCTACAATGAGAAGCATTATAATAATATATATTGCCAACTGACTATATACAATGCATCACACTAACACAAAATAAACACACATATTAAATTCAAATAATAAATAGTAGTTCCAAATAAAAGTTTAAATTGATATCACCAAAACAAAGCCTCAAAACACAAGGCTCTGATACTAACATGTAACACTCCTAAATTTTAAATTGATTTTTCACAAATTATTAGTTTAATAAACAATTTTTATATCATTGAACCCTTGCCATAATGGAAAAAGATCTACGATGATAATACATAATAAAAATTCTTTTAAAAATCTACCATGGTAGAAAAAAACCTTTCATATAAACAAATCATTTTACAAATGGCCTACCATGATAGAAAGAATTTAACTTAATGAATAAACTCTATCATAGTAATTAAGATACCATTATAATAAAATGTTTCTTAATGGAAGACAATGCAAAACCATTCACATGAAGGGGAAATAGTTTTCTTTTAGTACAAGACCACAGTCAAACCATGCAAAAAACCAAAATTAGGTAATGTCGAATGCCATAAGACTTATACAATCATTAGATGGACTGTCAAATAAACAAATATCAAAAGTATCAGTTGAAGCCTTGTGGGCCATGATCGGTGCATTTGTTAACTTCTCTATAGGCATGATCAAAGTTTATCTCTCAATTACACATGGTAAGGTTTTTGATGTTACCAATAATGGCAGAGAGAGGATGATTATGAGAAGAACTCCAGTCAATGAAAGACAAGGCCTTTATAGAATTAAAGTAGATGTTTACTTTAGGAATCTTAGCATTTCGATAAAGGTTGAGACCTTTCAAGATTCCTATTAATTTCACAGCAGTGTTAGGTTGGTAACTGAGATTTTTAGAAAATTTTTTAATCCAATTGCCCTTATCATCTCTAATAAGACCACCACAAGCCACAATTTTATTGAGGTTGATAAGACCATTAACATCTAATCTAACCCATCTCAGATTTGGTGGAATCCAATTAGCTGTATTACGAGTGTCATAATTGCTTAGAAGATCCATTTTGGATTGAAGCTTCATGTCATTAATGATTTGTTGTGTGCATGTGAAAGGAATGTCATTGTCCAAAGTGTTATCCTCAGAGTAGGCTTTCTTACATCTAGCTTTCCATATGTTCCAACAAGCTTGTGCAAAGAGTTTCTACTAATATTATCTTTTCATAGACGTGCTGCCAACCTCATTTTTCGCATTCCAAAGAATCCAATCTTGCACAGAAAGAGAGAAGAAAGTATTAAACTTATTAGGATTGACCAACTTTTCCCAAACCTCTTTTGCTGCCTTACAATCTTATAAAATATAGATAGAAGAGTCAGTGGAGATACGACCAAAAAGGCAGGTACGTTGTTAAAGGTTATCCCCATTAGAGGAAATGTGCTTGATTTGGAGATGGTCCCAACTAGCTTTCCAAAGAAAGTATTTAATTTTTTCATACATGGGCTATTTCTAAATTGTTGACCAAATATTTGAATGATTTTGAGTCTTATGATCCTCTATAGCTTTATAGGTTGATTTGATAAAGAAATTGTCATTAGAAGAAGGCCTCCAAACAAGAATATCCTCCTTACCATGTCAATTAAGAGGTTGAATGTGAGCGATATGTTTGATTACATCATGTTGAAGATAACATTTCATAACATCAAAATTCCAACCACCATTAGCCTTACATAAATCAAAGACTTTGGCATGAAGAATATGATCAGTAAAAGGCATGATTGACCAGAGGGTCAGTTAGAGAGGTCCATGTGTCATACCAAAAAGAGATATGATCTCCTTTAACAACTTTCCAACCAATATCAGATAAGAAAACATCCTAAATTTTGCATATGCTATTCCAAGTATCTAAGCAAGAATTCAGTTTAACCACCATAGGAATAGTAGGTTTCCTACAATTGTATTTGTCACGTAGGACCCTAACCGAAAGATAGTCAAGTTTAGCAATGAGACCCCAGTAGAGCTTCATTATGAAAGCGATATTTTGATTTTTGAGCTTTTTGAGTTCAAGATCCCCTTTTTTTTTGTTAGAAGTAACATATTCCTAAGATAGAAAGTGGGAGTTTTTTATTCCCATCATTAGAGTCCTATAGGAAATTTCTAGAGATTTTTCTAGTTCAACTAGGACGTTGTCAGGTAAGAGCATAATTTGTATGGTAGCTAAGGATAGCCACAAGAACAAATTTAATGAGAACATATTTCCCTGTTATGTTAAGGTAGTGATTTTTCTAATTACCTAAATGCGAGTTAGCCTTATCAATTAAAGGCAAAAAGGTAAGCTTAGTTATTCTCTTGTGAATAATACAGATTCTTAAATATTTTTCAAGGTTGCTGGCTAGAGATATTCCCGATTCATCACTGATTTATAAAGCTATGTTGATGTTGACATTTCTGGAGTAGTAGAGTTTAGATTTTCAAGTATTGATCTTCTATCCAGAAGTGTGACAAAAGTCCAAGAGACATTGTTGGATAAAATGATCTTGTGGAAGAGATGTTTTTGTAAAAAGTAAAAGATCATCAGTGAAAAAGAGGTGAGAAATAGTAGGCCCATTAGGTGTTAGCCTTATTGGCTTCCATTCATTTTTATCTATACTACTAAGAATGCAATGGCTTAAATGCTCAATACAAAGGACAAAAGGATAAGGAGAAAGAGGATCCCCTTGACAGATGCCACAAGAAGGTGTGAATTCTTGAGATGGTTCACCATTCCATAGGACCCTTATATGTGAAGTGGAGATAGTAGCTTGAATAAGTTTCCTAAAGTGATCATTCATTCCAATAGACTTGATGGTATCATCAATGAAGTTTCAGGATAGTCTGTCAAAAGCTTTTTCAAGGTCAACCTTTATTGCCATAAAGCCTTTCTTACCAAATTTATTCTGCATAGAGTGGATAATTTCTTGAGTAATAATAATATTATCACTACTTTATCATCCTTGAATGAAGCTACTTTGATTATCACTAATTAAATGAGTCATACATCTATGTAAATGGTTGGAGAGAATTTTGGTGATGACTTTATAGCTCACATTATAGAGAGAGATAGGATGGAAGTCTTTCATACTAGTAGGGTGATCTATTTTAAGAATCAGAGTAATATACGTAGCGCTAATCTCCTTGATAGGATTAGGTCCTCTAAAAACCCCTTTAACAAGGTTGATAATTCTAACTTTAAGATCATCCCAATAAGAGCGAATGAACTTAGCATTAATACTATTAGAGCAAGGAGCTTTAAAAGCACTAATAGCAAAGGCAACATTTTTTATTTCATCATCAGTGACTTCTTTATGTAGAGTACATAGTTGGATAGAAGATCGAGGAGGAAAACATCTTTCAGTAGTGAGCTTAGGTCTATCTTTGTTATCTTCCTCAAAGAGATCTTCATAGAAAGAAGCAGCCATGTTTTTAAGGGTATTCTGATCTTCAATCCAATTATCATCCCCTATTTTGAGAGATAAAATCTAATTCCTTTTCCTTCTGATAATGGATGTAGTATAAAAGAATTTAGTATTTTGATCTCCCCATTTGAGCCATTTACATCTAGACTTTTAGAACCATATCAATTCTTCTTGCAAGAGAACTTTGTTATGATCTTCCTAAAGTGATTTCCCCAGTTTTCTAAGTAATTATCTCTGTAGTTCTTGCTTCTATCAATTCTTTCTAATCTTCGAAGAATTTTCATCTTTTTAGCAAAAATACTATCAATTTTTTCCTTGTTCCATTTAATTACAGAGTTGGCAAAGTTTTTTGTACTATTCTTCCAATCTTTGTTAGACAAAGCTTCTTTAACCACATGATGG